GAGGCGACGGAGCGGAGAATGACTCCTCCTCCTCAATCCTCGGTAGCGGCGAAGCTGTCTCGGCTCTGGAGAGGAGTCTCCGACTTACCTTTATGGATGAGCTCATGGAACGAGCTAGGAATCGAGACACTTCAGGCGTATCCGAGGTTATCTATGACATGATTGCTGCTGGGCTTAGCCCTGGACCACGTTCTTTCCATGGCTTGGTCGTGGCTCATGCGCTTAATGGCGACGAGCAAGGCGCGGTAAATGCTTCTCTATAGCTCAATTTTAGATGTAGACTGTATTATCTATAAGAAATTGTTCAATGTTGGTGTTGAAACTCAATCGGATTTGACTTGTTGTGCTATGGTTTAAGAGTAGCACATTTTATCCAAATTGTGGTGTTTGAAGTGAAAAATAAGGACTTTTTTGTTGGGTGTGTGTGGGTGGATTGTAGATGCACTCATTGAGGAAGGAGCTAGGTGCAGGGCAACGTCCGCTTCCTGAAACGATGATTGCTCTCGTTCGACTGTCTGGTTCGAAAGGAAATGCTACGAGGGGTTTGGAAATCCTTGCAGCTATGGAAAAGCTTAACTATGACATTCGTCAAGCTTGGCTAATTCTTGTTGGTATTCTCTCTTGCCAAGACTATGTGTTTAGAATCCAATGCTTGTCTTTATTTTGTGTGTGTCTGTCATGCTTGGGGTTATTGAGCAATCGTTAATGATTTGGGGTGTGGTCTTTTTTAGAGGAGCTCATGAGGACCAACCACTTGGAAGAGGCGAATAAAGTTTTCTTGAAGGGTGCTAGAGGTGGGATGAGAGCAACCGATCAGCTTTATGATCTGATGATTGAAGAAGACTGCAAAGCTGGAGATCATTCTAATGCCTTAGATATCTCTTACGAAATGGAGGCAGCTGGTAGAATGGCCACAACATTTCACTTCAACTGTCTTCTTAGTGTGCAGGTTTGTTATGGTATCTTGGATCTTATACACACGCTTCTTCTTTGTCTAACGAAGATAGTAAGCCTTTTTGTTGACAACAAATAGGTTTTATTTGCTTCCATTGTGTAGGCTACATGTGGGATTCCCGAGGTAGCTTATGCTACGTTCGAAAATATGGAGTACGGCGAAGGTTAGTATTTTTCTTTAGCTAATTTCTGCTTCAATTTTTTTGCTTAATTGTTGCATGATGACTTAAAGTAATCTCGATTTGATAGAATTTATGAAACCTGACACGGAGACATATAACTGGGTGATTCAAGCCTATACAAGAGCCGATTCATATGATAGGTAATTCATTTGAGGTTTAATTGCACACATTTATCTTAAAAGTGGACAAATTCTCAGGTAGCATGTTTGCATGAATCACAGGGTTCAAGATGTTGCTGAATTACTTGGAATGATGGTTGAGGACCACAAACGTGTACAGCCAAATGTGAAGACTCATGCGTAAGAGAATCTATATTTCATTCTGTCTTGTAACTCATTATACCCACTTTGCAGTATTACCTGCTCTAATGTGAAAATCCTAAGATGATCTGTATAATGATCCATTTCAGGCTCTTGGTTGAGTGCTTCACGAAATATTGTGTTGTGAAGGAAGCGATTAGACATTTTCGTGCTCTGAAAAGGTTTGAAGGAGGCACCATTGTTTTACACAATGCAGGGAACTTTGATGATCCTCTCTCTTTATATCTCCGGGCTTTGTGTCGAGAAGGTATGCATACACTTGTACCTGTGTAAATACTAATACTAATCTCATAATCTGAGATTATGAGATTTATTATTACAACTATTTATAGTTATGGTTCCCTATTTCCAATGTTTCTGTTATTAGACCAAGTGTTCTCTGGTTTTTTCCTTCCTTTGTGTATTCACTGTCTTTAAAAGATACCCTCTATCTTTGAACCAGGAAGAATTGTTGAGCTTATTGATGCTTTAGATGCAATGCGGAAAGATAACCAACCTATACCTTCAAGAGCCATGATTATGAGCAGAAAATATCGAACACTAGTCAGCTCATGGATTGAGCCACTGCAAGAAGAAGCAGAACTTGGCTATGAGATTGATTATTTAGCAAGGTAAAATACTAGAGTTCTGCATTCTTTGACTGGATTTTTTTTATCATCAGATTCTATCTCCTATTTACATGTTAAACGGAAATGCTCTCTTCTAATTGTTTGAAAGAAAATACTATGGTGTTTGTTCACATCTTGTTCCCTTGATATGTTAAGATTGGTAGACTGTAAACATTTTCAGGTACATAGAGGAAGGGGGGCTTACTGGTGAGCGCAAGCGTTGGGTACCTCGAAGAGGGAAAACTCCTTTAGATCCTGATGCTTCTGGGTTTATATACTCAAACCCTATTGAAACATCATTCAAACAGAGATGTCTTGAAGATTGGAAAATTCATCATAGGAAGCTCTTGAGAACCTTACAGAGTGAAGGTCTTCCAGTTCTAGGAGAAGCATCAGAATCTGATTACATGAGAGTGATGGAGAGATTACGGAATATAATAAAAGGTCCTGCTCAGAATCTTTTGAAGCCGAAAGCAGCAAGCAAGATGGTTGTTTCAGAGTTAAAGGAAGAACTTGAAGCTCAGGGTTTGCCAATTGATGGAACGAGAAATGTTCTTTACCAGCGTGTCCAAAAAGCAAGGAGAATAAACAAATCTCGAGGTCGGCCTCTCTGGGTTCCTCCAATTGAAGAAGAAGAGGAGGAGGTAAATTTATGGTCCTTTCTTTCAGTCAGAGAAACGTGTATCTTGAGTACTTGACACATGTAATATTAATAAATCGTATTTATAATGTAGGTCGATGAAGAAGTAGACGAATTAATACGTCGAATCAAGCTACATGAAGGAGATACTGAGTTCTGGAAACGCCGGTTTCTTGGAGAAGGCTTGATTGAAACATCAGCTGAAACCAAGGAAATAGCTGAATCAGTATCTACAGGGGAGTCCAAGAAGACGATTGAAGGTGTTGCAAAAGAAGC